GGGTAGTGTCATAAGTATTTGCGAAAAAAAATTGTAAGCCGTTCGAGACTCCATATTAAATTTTAATCCAGACGAATCGCCACACCAATTTATGCCGTTGTAGTTCCACTCGCAAAACTATTGTTACGTAAGCACCTTGCCGTTGTATGAAGTCTTCGGTGACCCGTGCTAATCCTGATTAAAGAATTAATTAAAACAAATAATCCTCCAGACATTTGCTTGTAGTCATGCCAGAGACAGAGTTTTAAAAAGCGAACATTTATGGTCCTTCGAGCCGGATGTCGCGAAAATAGCGGCTTTAAAATGGAATGATGAACGAAAAGACGTCCCACAGGACTTCGTTCCCTGCTTATATGCACGTGTCAAAGTATTATCTAAATACATATGACTCACAAGGGTCGTTAGATAATTATGATCTGGATGTTTATAAACTATTGAAATTGTTAAGTCTTAAATATGCTGGCATTTACGATGGGTTATCCTGTTTGAAATGTATGATAGTTTTGAGTAGCCTTTGATGAGGGTTACTGCTAATAATCCTCTCGATAGATTGTTCACGTTAATTGAACCCTGGTTCGTCATGGCGGTTTGTGCCTCGAATTAATAGAAACTGAACCATTTTGCTCCGGAAAGATGATTAATGAACGTGGAAAACACTCGTGTTGCTTCTACACGTTTTCATTAAAAATCTCGATGGATTAGCGGGAAAATATTACATGACAAAACAAAGAGGGATAAAATCTTAGCTTATAATTTGCTTTTATGCTTGAAATTTATTGAATCGAGCTTTTCTTTTCAGCTAAAATGTAAAAAGTAATTTTAGTATATTGATATTTGCTGTATTTATTTCTTCTAATCGTAAATAAGACAAGGTAGTGACGATATGCTTTCTAACTATCAAATGTCATTTACCGATGCTTAACTGTTTAGAGGTGGGGCAAACTGTATGAACCAATCGACTGCGTCAGATGTCTCCCCACCATACAATGCTTGAGTATAAAACGGTGAACATTTCGTGAATACCGATAGAGAAAATACGATTTCTGCATTAGCATGTTTAATAAATTTTTTGGTTTTTGAAAAGCTTAACACAAGATAAACACTATATAGTTTTGTATTATCATAAGTATCTACACCATTGTACCATCTTTATAAAAATAAAGAGGGAGAAAATCTTTCTTTTACACTTGAAATTTATTGAGTCGAGTTTTTCTTTGCAGCTAAAATGTAAAAAGTAATTATAGTATATTGATATTTGCGAAATGAAAATGACTAGGACATTGTCTGCGAAAAGCCTGGACAATTTAGAAAATTACTTCGTCTACAATTCTGTCTTAATGCGACTTATTGCACTCAACTGAAATCGTCGAACATAATATTCCTTTCCGTTCTATTGAGGACTTGACGAGATGGAATCATTATTCTTTTCAAATTATTCTCGGTACCTATTCCACATTAATTTATAATAAATAATTTGTGTAGAACTTTTACAATGGCATTTAATTAAATTAATTATACAGTGGATATTAACGGATTATGACCATTGTTTTTGCGGAGAACCCAGGAAAATGTTACTTATTGTCGCTTTCTAACGATGATAATTGTGGAATGAAAGCCGAGCATTGCACAGGTACTTTATTTATTACAAAAATATAACTTTCACCAACATAATAACAATAATAACCATCAAGCTCATTGGCGAAAGCTTTAATTTAAAAACGTACCACTGAAACAATAATTTAAATACTGTAACGTGCAAGTCTCTTATGTCATTAAAAGTCTTTAATCTAATCTAACTTAATTATAAGAAGTGTATTATTTACATATATTCGAATTGCGACTGTTTCGTTTTCCTTTGATTTCGCCTATTTTTAAAAAGGTTTTACCAAGTACTCAACTTTCAATTTCGGCTATGATTTAAAGCGAAAAAAAGCAAAAATTCTTGTCTCATAATAAAAACATGAAGGAAAGGTTGTTAAAGCAAACGTATTCCTGCGGGACAAGCAATAATAAAAGAACAAGGTCGTGCGTGTATCTCTGTATGTGTGTATCGAGATTAAGAATAGAAAGAGGCTTCGTGAATTCCCAAAAAGGACTGTGTGATCTCCTTAGGTATCCAAGGATACGTGACAAAAGGCTTATACGGGATGAAATGTCCTCTTTTCGACGGAAAAAAAAGTTTACGAATACGATCCCAAGATTTTATGCAAATTTACTGTTACCTACGTTGTTAAATGTTTAATAAAAGTGAAAAGGTCCAGTTTTTCTCACAAATCTTTAATCGTCCGAGACGTACGCCTCTTAATACCGCTTAAACAAAACCAAATCGATAAACGTTCAGTGGGTGAAGCAATCGTTTGCAGCGGGAGGCCTTGGTCCTTCGAGCCGGATGTTGCAGAAGCGCTTTTCGAAAATAGCGACTTTGAAGTAAGTAAGCAAAAACAATTCTTATTATGAAACGAAAACCGGCACGGCATTGCGATTTGTACGTGCATGCCGTCATTGACATTAGGTCGTTTCTTTCGGTTGTGGCGCGGTGCCAGACCGAATATCTTTTATTTACTAGACGCTGGTAGGTCGTTGGCTCGTCGGAATCGAAGTTTTATGTTAAAAGACCAGCAAGAGGCGGTCTTGGGACACTAAAAACTGAATGGGTCTTGTTTACTATCGAGACTACTATACAGGCGCACGCTTTTAATTACGTCATTGCGATACAGAATGCTACTTATATTGCAACAACTACACAACCGCTTCTGCTACTACTACTACTACTTGAAACCGGTCGGGGATCGAAATCTAGGTCGCTGGCGAAATATAAATCTTCGTCCATTAGAAAAATTGTTTCTCTAGAAAATTGTTACAGCATCTACGTCTTGGACGAATATTTTTATATACATTTTCTTCTGTAAAATAAAGACAGTAGGAGGGTATTAAAAAGGATTATTGTTATCAGATACTGCCTTGGGAGCCATTATTATCCTGCATGCTTTTAGATTTTCATAAAAAAATTTTCAACGAGTTTGTTTTGAAGCTGTAGCGTCAACATTTCGATGGTATATTTTGTCCTACGTTACTGGGACATCTATCATTCGAAATGAGCGCTTGTGATTGATTAAAATTGCAAATATTTCGTACGCTGTTTAATTGCAGTTTTAATCAGTCTGAAACGATACTGACGCCGATTCAAATTTCGTCATTACATTTTATCTATTTGGCAAAAGTGCTCCGAATTCTAATTACAAATCCGATCTATTCATCTTAAATAGGAATGGTTAAAAGAATCGCTAATTAAAAAACAGTCTCTCTCTCTCTATCTATCTCGATAATGAAATATTTGAGAAAATTCTCTGCAGGTATCAAGAAGAAAAAGACATAGCAATTTCCGACATTAACGGGGGTGCTATTGGTTCGAGTTTTATATCGTTATAAAGTGTTGCATTGGTAAAATAAGGGGATTTACAATTCTCCCTGAGGTACACTAAATTAAGGGCCGACTGCTGAGAATCCAATACTGGCTTCGGTTTTACGCTTTATTGCTGTTTCTCATCGATTTTAGATACTTTTTATTTTTACGTCGTCTCCTCAGTTCTCAGTTACTTTAAACCACATCCAGCCCGAAGGAACTAATCAGTAAAACCGATACTCACTGTGATCCACTAAGCAGTATTTATTTCAAATACGTTCTGATAAAATTGGCTGCCATTTCAAATCTACTCATGTAACGCTATTTTACGGGAGATGACAGGATAAGTGGGCGATTGCGAAAGCAAATAACCCATTTGTCATCAACTGATACAACAGCCATCAAAACAATACTCATCTCCTTGATGTGTATATCGAAGACCTAAGTAAATCAGTGATAAGCAAAATTGCTCTTGATCTTGCAGTTTTGGTTTTAGTCTTGCGAGAATTACCAAGACCAAAGACCAATACTATCTTTACAGTAGCAAGTTCAAGACTAAGACCCAACGAACGAAACCAAGATTAAAACCAACACCAAACGAAAAAGACTTTGACTACAACCAAGACCAAAACTAAAGCTAAGACTAAGACCAAATACGCAAGACTACTGGTCTTAAAAACACTATTACGTTATTACTACTTCGGTTATGAATTAATCTATTTATTTACATTACTGTTGATATATCACTATTCACTGCGCTATTTATTTCACTGCTATCACTGTCAATTTATTTCTTCTCTCGGCGATCGTCTCTTCCTTTAAATACTGTTTTGTTTACTTTCAGGAACCTTCTCGAAACATCCGGATAGTTTCTTTTTTCTTTGAACTGTTTAATTGCTTTCCCAGAACGCAAGTACGACACACATATTTACAAATACATGAAGAAAGGCGCCCGCGGCTAGTAGGCGAATCGATAAGTCGTCCACGCACACGTGTGCCCGATCGCACACAAACACGCTCGTGCTCGTTACACTGCCCCCTAATTAAGGATGTTTCGTCCTGAAACATTTTCATCTTCCGTTTCGCAGAATCATNAGGCATGAAGGTCTAGTCAGAGACATATTAGAGGCAGAAACAGGAGTTAGGAGGGGTAGAGGTAGACCTAGATTAGATTACTGTTCGCAAATAGTTAAGGATGTGGGCTGTTCTAGTTTTAGAAAAATGCGAAGTTTAACTCAGGATAGGAAAAAGTGGAGGTACGTGTCCAATCAGTCTTAGGACTGACGACCCTATGATGATGATGATGAAATAAAGGTCATTTTAAGGCACAAAACGTGCACCCAGATGACAAATAAGCCATTTGCAATTCATTTTTTCAGTAGTTTATGGATACTGTACCTTTCCCGGTTAAATAAATTGTGAAATTTTCAGAAGAGAAAACAGCAGCGAACCCTCGAATGATTTTCCAAATTATGCGTCTATTTTAGTGACGGCAAGCCAGCGGCACCGAAAAATATATAATGTCGTTTTTAAAAAGTAAATTGAATTATTTCGAACTTCGTGAGCTCGACGCTTACCTAAATCAACAACGTTTTTAAAAATAGAAAAGCCTTGTCACTTTTTTGACAGCAAGGGCAAAACATAAAATTGTTACTTTCAGTTTTTTACATTTTTATTAATTCCAAATTTACCGTTGTCAGTCCCGAAAATGGAACGAATTATATCAGAAAGTATATTTCTCCTGGAATTCCTGATCGACAAGTTACAAATAAAATCATGTCCTGTGGACGGCCTATGTGTTTGCATGCAGTTCTTAGACAACGATCCTTTAGAGATATGCGAGAGCGATCTATGCGAAACCCCCTTCGGTCCGAGTCCCGGTAAGGAATTTTCGAAAACAGGAAAGTCCTGTCTATTCTTTTTACGACCCGATCAATTAGAGGAATGTTTAGAAACCTTCGATCTCTTCGTTTGCATAATCAAAAAGTTACAACCGCATTGTAAACCCGACAGACTCCAAATAGGATCGGCTGTGATCTCCATCGCCAATATGTTCAACGCGCTAGTGACTGAAGTGCAAAACAGCACCTGCCAGGGACCCATATCGAAAACTCTTTGCGACAATTTCGATATCCAGGGAATTCACGACGGATCTGTCATTGGAACGTTAGGGATGTACATAAGAATGTCCTGTTTCGGTAAACTTATTGTCACACAATTCCAAATGAACCTTCAAGAAAAGTCGGTTCTTTTTAAAGACAGAGAAGGCAAATCAGTCTACAGATACAAAAAACTGAAGAAACCAAAGAAAGAACCAGAACCGGACGAGGATTTTTGCCAAAACAACTATCCTATGGGACCACCACCAAGTCCGCCCCAGTACAATACAGGTTCGTACTACCCTTCGTATGATAATGGTCCCCCCTGCGATGAAGAACCCCAGGTGTTTTATGACGAATTATCTGACGATGATCCAGAAGATTTTAGGGAATTCGGGGCTTGTATAGGAGGCAATGAACTCATTATCCGAATCATCGATAACGATGAGTGCGATAAAGACAAGGAAAGTCCTTGTGAAGATGACGGTGGTGGAGATGCCGTGAATCCTTGCGGAATGCAATACGATCCTAGGATGGGAATGGCTCCAGGAGGATATCAACCATCAGGATATGGATATCCTCCTGCGCCTCAGTACGGCTATCAGGGAATGGCGCAGTATGGGATGTCACCCGAATGTGAAACTGACATACCTCAAGAGATTGACGAATGTGCACCACCAGAGCCCGTCTGTCCCTGCACTCCCAAAGAAGACGAACCACCTTGCGGTCGTAAAACATGCGATGCTTATAAGTCCAGGTTCGTAAAGAAGAAGAAGGGCAAGAAGAAACTGACGCCGGAAGAATTGGAAGCCTTACGTAAAGCAGAGGAAGAAAAACGTAAAGCCGAAGAAGAAGCGCGCAAAGCGCTGCGCGAACTCCTCCGGTCTCAGGCAGGAGGAGCTTCCGTGGGTTTTATGGAAAAATCGCGAGGTCCGTACGGGTCAGAAGTCTGCGTGTGCTACAACACATGCTCACAACCGGCATCGAGTGTCTGTCCGACGAGCAATACGACTTCGTGCTGTCCTTCGTCAAACTTTTGAAACATGTTCACTTGTTTTCACAATTAACAAAATACACCGACCAATTTGACAGATAGACAATTTCATTTGAAGGAAGAGTCACACGTAATCAAAATTAATAAGTGATAGCCAAATTTAAATTAAGAAACAATAGAGAAAATGGGGCCCAAAGGCGCGAACGAGGGAATGTTCCTCATAGAATTTCTGGTCGATAAAATTGAAATTTCTCGCAGCTCTTGCGATTTGCCGGACCTGGACGAAGGGAACATTTGTGTTTCGGTCCAGTTTTTGAACAACGAACCATTAGAAATTTGCGACAACGATTTCGACGAGACGCCGTCCGGTTCGCCGGCGGACAAGGAATGTTCGAAGACGGGTAAATCGGGTCTGTTTTTCTTAACCCCCGAACAACTGGATCTATGTCGACAGTGTTTTAACATATGCGCTTGCGTCTATAAGAAATCGAAACCTTGTGTGCTACCCGATAAGGTCGTGGTCGGTTACGCCTTCGCCAATGTCACTTTGATGTTCAACCTTTTGCTGGACGAGGTCGAAAACGCATGCACCCAAGGACCCGTGTCCAAGATCATCAATGACAATTACGAAATCCTGAATGCCTCAAACGGACTGAACATTGGCAAATTGGGCATGTACGTTCGAATGTCGTGGCTTGGGAAATTCATCGTGACCCAGTTCCAGATGAATCTCCAAGACCAATCCGTTCTTTATCAAGATAAGGGAGGCGAATCGATTTATAAATACAGAAAGAGAAGCGGGTGCGAAAGGAACGGCATGGGTCTTCCGTCTCCTCAATTGGGCTTGCTCCCATCGACAGCTCCTAAAGCTCCCAATCAATCGTCGTCCGGTAGAGTGAACTACGACGTAGAAGAAAACCCTTCCAGAAAAAGGAGACCCGGTCAACTCCGCAAGTGCAACGGAACAGCGTCGATACCGAATGCCAGAGGTGGTTGTACCAACAAGAACGCCATTGTTATGCCAAAACTTCCCGATCCGGACAAGGAAGTGTTCGTACTTCGACTGGGAGACAAGAAAGACAGTGCCAAGAAGAAAAAGAAACTGCTGGAACTTCAACTGAAAACGCCCAAGGGACCGCCCTTCAAAGGTCCTCCCATCAAATGTGACAAGGAAGTCGAGTGGGACGAAGAAGCTTCTCGACAAGCCATGGCTTTAGCTGCAGCAATGGGAATGACATTCCTAATGAGATTTGGCAAGGGTGGCGGCGGGGGTGGAAAGAAGAAAAAGGGGGCCAAATCTGCGGAAGAGTTAGAAAAGATGAGAGCTTTACTGAAAGCTCAAGCAGGAGGTGCGAGTGTTGGAATCACCGATAAACCCCGAGCTGTGCCTTGTCCACCGCCATGTGTACCTTGTGATCCGTGCGACGTCAGCTGTATGGCTTCGTGTGTGTCTACGCCTACTGCTTGCTACTCGTCTAGTTGTTGTTTTACACCATGTTCAAGATGTTAACTGCAGTTGTCTTAAAGCTTCAATAAAAACTAACACAAATATCCAAGACTGCTTTGTACATTGACATATCTCCTAAATCTTTCATTCGGCATTATCAGTTTCAAAATTATGTAGTGACCAAATCCAAGATCATAAATTACATTGTAATCATTGATTCGTCCCACTGTTCAAAATTCTAGTGTACAGTCACATGTAAAATGGCGAAAAATGTAAGCGACAGTATCTTCCTCATCGAATTCCTGGTCGACAAAGTCGAATTGAAGTATCAGTCTGGTAGCATACCGGGGTTGTCCGCTGGCATTTGTGTTTTGGTACAGTTTCTCGATAATCCCCCGTTGGAGATATGCGATAATGATTTCGACGAAACGCCTTTCGGTTCCAACCCGAATCTGCAGTGCGCCAAAAGTGGAAAGTCATGTCTCTTCTTTCTGTCGTGCGAACAACTTCAGAATTGCAGGAAGCGATTCATGATTTATGCCACAATTTTCAAAAAGGCCGACAACTCCTGCGTGACTCCCAACAAGGCCGAACTGGGAACATCTGTGGTCGCCATAACATCACTCTTTAACGAACTGATTTGCGAGGTCGAATCGGGAAGATCAACCGGTCCTACGTCGAAGACTTTAAAATGCGACTACGATGTAATGGGAGCGAACGATCCCAATTGTGCCATCGGTAAATTGGGCATGTACATCAGGATATCCTCTTTCGGAAAACTGATCGTTACTCAATTCCAAATGAACCTGGAGGACAAGTCTGTTTTATTTACGGACAAAGAAGGGAGCTCGGCGTACAAGTACAAGAAAATCCGAAAGCCAAGTGCAGGAGACTACAGTCAGTCCAACGACGAGTGCGATCCATGCGGAAATAGTCGGGAAAAGGAGAAGGGCCGTGAATGCGACTGTTCGGAACGGGGACTACCAGCGTTTGGAGGCGATTGGTCGAAAACACCACCGCCGAAAAGAAAATCGTCGGCAGAGTGTAAACCGAAACCGCAAAAACCCCCGTGCTGCGGCAATAAACCTCGGAAACCTCCCCCTCAGCCCTCCCGTGCCCAAGCATGTGGAATGTCTCGTGGTAACGGGCCTGTGCAACCGCCTTTACCTCCCGTAGACCCCTGCAATCCACCCTCTCCATGTATTCCTCCGGATGAGCCTAAAGAACCACCACCTCCCGACCCCGATGCCGACAAAGAGCGCTTCTTTTTTCGTCTGGCCAAGAAAAAGAGACCGCAACCTAAAATTAACGAACTAGAACTCGAAATGAAAACGCCGAAAGGTCCCACTTTAAAGCCTAAACCTCCGAAAGAAACTAGGTCAACCGAGTGGGAAGAAGCGTTGTCGAAAGAAGCCATGAAGTTGGCTGCTAGCTTGGGACTTGCAGGTCTAATGAAGAAAATTGGACTTGGACCTGTGGGCAAAAAGAAATCGGGCGGCGGCGGTAAGAAAAAGAAAGGAAAAACTAAAGACGAACTGGAGCTAGAGAGAGCTTTACTCAGGGCTGGGGCTGGGGGTGCCACCGTGGGGATCAAGGACAAACCACGTCCCGTTTGTGATCCCATCTGTCCCCCGTGCCCACCCTGCATACCATGCGTACCGTGCCAGCCCAGCTGTGTAACAACCTGTATTAGTTGTCCTTCAAGTTGTTCGAAGAGTGTGATGGATACCTATTGTTCAAGGTGAACAATTTGACGCTGTTTTGTCGTAAAAATACTGCAAAAATAAGAAAATAGCGAAAACCAAAGAAAAATAACAAATACTTATAAGTAATTTGTTGTGGGTACCATGCTGTAACTGATATAACAATTGTATTGTTGATTCTATGATAATAAATATTCTCTAAATGAAAATTGATTTCCTCGAAACGTTTTTTAACAGACTGTTGAAAAATTGATGATTGAAATAACAGTCGAACGAAATCCCGATGGATTTGTTCGCGCTAGTTTTGTTTTGAAACAAGGAACTCTTCAACGTTGTTTGTAGTGTAGAGAAAAAAGGCAAGCTGAAGCTTCAACATCAGCGGCAGAGAATTAGGGCTCTCGACGCTTTATTGGTACTCAAATTAAATGACCCAGTGTGTGAAATCCTTTAAACAACAGGAACAAGCTTTCAAGCTAATCAAATAGTGTGAAGTTTAATTATCTGAAAGAGTTTGTTGTGTATTATATCGATGAAACATGAAGTATCACTTATTTTTAGTTTGGAAATTGTATTTACTACAAAGTTGTTTTTCATTCAAACTAATTGTGAGTACTAGACGAGACAATTATAATTTTCTAATGGTTAAGTATTTAATAAAAAGAAGTCACTTCTATGCACGCGAACGGTTAATTTTGAAATTCGAAAAAGGTTGTTAAAGGTGTATGTTTGGAGGACGGCATTGTACGGGTGCGAAACATGGACAGTGGCGCGGCAGAAAAGAAAAGGTTAGTGTTCGAAATGTGGTGTTATAGGCGGATGATAAGGATAACGTGGGTAGAAAAGGTTAAAAATGAAGACGTATTAGAAAGAATAGGAGAACAGAGGACTCTATGGAAGTCAATAAAAAATAGGCGAGATAGGTTGGTAGGACACCTTCTCAGGCATGAAGGTCTAGTCAGAGACATATTAGAGGCAGAAACAGGAGTTAGGAGGGGTAGAGGTAGACCTAGATTAGATTACTGTTCGCAAATAGTTAAGGATGTGGGTTGTTCTAGTTTTAGGGAAATGCGAAGTTTAGCTCAGGATAAGAAAGAGTGGAGGTACGTGTCCAACCAGTCTTAGGACTGACGACCTTATGATGATGATGATGGTTAAGTATTAAGGTGAAAATTCATTCTTAATTCTTATCCACTAGAAACCATGACAAATTAGAAGAAGTGGCCGATTTTAGGTATCTAGGAAGTCAGATAAATCAGGACGGAAGGAGTAGTAGGGATATAAAGCAGAGGATAGCGCAAGGTTGTTAAAGGTGTATGTTTGGAGCGCGCCGTTGTACGGGTGCGAAACATGGACAGTGGGCGCGGCGGAAAAAGTTAGAACCGTTCGAAATGTGGTGTTACAGGCGAATGATGAGGTCACCGTAGGTAGAGGTTAGAATTTTCTATTTTTTTGGCATGAACCCATAATAATAACGAATTACAATTAAAATTCTTTCAAAACTGAAGCGATTTTTATCTTCGTAATTTCTCTCTTTTGTGATGTGGTGCACGTTCTAAATCTAAACACAATGAGCTCACATTGCAACCGCGGTAGCAAGTTGCCGTCAAAAGTTTCGCAGTGTGTTGCACCAATTGTCCCCATTCGTATAAATCCGAGTGTTATCAGCGGTTTCTACTGCATCTCTTGGCATTCGAAAGCACCAACAACAATTCCTCCAAATTCCAAGTATTGAATTATGAATCGCTGCCGTCCAGACAGAATTAATCTACAGATTGTTCGTTCCCCATCCTATCCCCACCCGCCCCAATTCCATCTCGATTCGAACGTGACACAAACGAGGATATCGAAATCCGTTTTGTAATCTGTTACAAGACGAGACCGGAAATTAAAGACAAGAAACTGGGACAGAAATGAAACGATTTAGAAATACAAACACAGCGGTGACGTTAAGCCCTTATGTCCCTTGATAGGTACAGCTAATGCTAACATTATCTCATAGAGTACCCTGTATATTTATAAGAAATAATAAAGGAAAAAGTTTGACTCAAAGTAAAAGTTGTCAGATCTTGATTTTGTCGCAGGCATCTTTGATCAATTTTTATCGTTTTAATTGAAAACCACCGCCTACCTTAATTTACTTAAAAATAACTGGAGAACTCCTCGGGGAGCGCGTCGTTTTCTCTTCCAACCAACTCATTCATGCTCTCGAGTCAGTGGATTAAATGCGCAACTGAACAAACACAAAAATAAACTTTTGCAATTAAAGTTAGAGTGACGGGTGCATCTGAAATTTCTCCGCACGACCGACGGTCCCGTCCTCACGAAATCGATCGTTCCCCGGTGGGCGGTCACGAAAAAGAGACGTCGTAGACGGATATTCTCTTCTTCTGGTTTCTTGAAACTAATGGTGCCATTATACACATAAACACAGGAAGTTGATTCTTAAAACAACGTGGAAGTAAATGTCTCGACCACGAACCCAAGTGTCTCTGACATCCGATCGCACGGCTATGTAAACATTAAACTTCAAAAGGACCTATCTGTTTTTCTTCGTAACTGAAAGAGCCTGCTTGCAGGTATTGAGCTTTAGCCGTGCGGCCAGTTATCCCGCACCCTTTTTTAATGACCGTAGAATACCACCGAGACGTCTAATCTGATGCATAGTACATGTACGAATACTTCGTTCAGTTTCTGTAGCGATGTGACCTTCAGTTTGATCGGCGCAAAGTAGAAAAGAACAGCACTAGGCCAGAAAAGAATGGAGACAACTCTCGGCCGAACTCTTCACCGGTGAGGAGTGTACAATCCGTACAGTACTGCACGGAAAAATTGACCATTTTATCCACTACAATTGCATTGCTCAAATGTGCTGTTATTGGTACCAATTACTACTGAAAATATCAACGAGATGTTTATTTATATTTGAAGACATATTAAAGGCTTTAACGATTGTTTTCGACTCGCACTACTATTCATGATTGAACAAAACTTTTGGCAGGTACTGTATGAAAAAGTA